TTGCAGTGTGTTGCATATGAAACTGCAGTGCGAGTTTTGGGAAAATTCAGCTTCGCTGCCTTTAGCGGGACTTTTGCTTTCCGCGCGCATGACTGTGGACCACCGTGGGTGTGCGCCACACAGAGCCGAGTCGGCATCCAAAACGACGCCACAGCGCGTACCAGCCAAAGGGGAAATTTTGACACCTCCCGTGAACTTTACCAGGAATACCGCAGGTTCCTTGTGTAACTGTAGTGTCGTTGAGAAGTTAGAATAAACGACGACTCGGGCACAACAACGCCGTTCGTTGTCTTTGATAGATCCAGCCATACAACGTTTGCTCTTGCTCTGATTTGAACGTTCGGATTGGTTTAGTGACAGTACAATATGTGATATCCGAGTTCTTCATAAACTCTGGTGATCGGCATTCGATCATCCAAGTGAGGAGATCCAGGTGGTATCATACTGGTATCATGTCATACGCGGCCCGGGAAATCCGATGAAGTTCGGGTTCTGCATGGAACGCGCGAGAGATTCTAGCCAAAGGCACCCATGATCCCATGATCCCATATACTCATAGGGAGGCGACACTGCACGGACACCCAATGTTTTTTCTATTCCAATCTATTGAGGATAGAACCCTATGTAGGACGGTACTTTCTAGTCTATGGGACCCTTTATCTCTGAAATAGCGAATGCCCCTGATGCTGAGACGTACCCCCATCAGTCCGCCGTTCCCGCCGGTCGTTTTTAGACGCGCATTTCAATGAAGACGAGAAGAAATCTATTTCTGTTGCGAGGTGGTGGGCTGCTTGCGGTGATGCAAACGCTTTTCCCGTCCGCTTTCGCGGATTATTACATAATGAGCGTCATCGAGAATCCGTGTAGACGAGATATTAGGTATGTGATTATAGCAGTTTGTTTCGGTATTATTGATTGGTCGTGGCTTTAGTTCTTGGTGTACAGGGTGTTAGATTTCGTGAGTTTGATAGTATGCTTCTGCTACTGCGATTTCACTTCTTTCGTTTTTGGATAATGGGACCTCACCGAATGTGGCTTTCAGGCGCTGCGTGGAGTTGACACTATTAGCGTGCTAAGTGTGGGATTGCTTCGGGGTCGGTTAGGAGATGGGGAATGGATGAAGCGTCACGTCCTAGTGCGCATTGAAGGGCGTGTGTCTCTCTCTCACATAGTAGGGTATTTTAGCGTAAAGTGGTGAATTGATTCTTCGTCATATGGGCAGTGTAGGCAGTGTGGACTTTCGACTTTGTTAATGCGGTAGAGGTGGCGGTTAAGGGGGACGTGCTGGGATCGGAGTGTCATGAGTAAACCTGTTAGTCCCTTTGGGGACACCCAATGTTAACATCCCGCGAGATGGCTTCCGAGTTACGCGGGGGGTGTACATTGGGTGTCCGCGCATGACATGCATTGTGAGTGGACTCGGTACTAGTAAGTACTTCTATCTGAACGTCCTGCACAGACAGACAGACAGACATAAATATGTGTGTGTTTGAAGCGAGAGTGGGTTCTGGGGATGATACGCACTGAGCACCGGCTTGATAATGGTGCAGGAACGGAAGCGGTGATAGAGCGTGTTCTATGTAGGCTCTGGCATCAGTGAGGATAGCACGAAGATTCAGAAGCGCAGCCATACTGACGTGCCTGCGTTCAGGCCCATAATATATAAGTCAAAGTCAATCCCAAATTTTGAAGAACACTTGAAACTTACAAGTCATGTAACCCCTACTCAAGCCGTTCTAAAACCAAGTACTTCAGTGTCAGAGACGCACTATATATGCATGACACGTACCTCCGGACCCAGAAGGAAAGCCCTTCCGACGCCAGTGGCGGAGGCTCGGGTGAGGCTCTTTAACATCATGCGCATAGTGTATGCAACAAAACCGGTGTGTTCGAGTGAACGCCCAGAGAAATCGTTTGGTACTACCAGTAAATGACTACTCGGAGGGATCACCACTGCAGAGGAAGAGGGATGTGGTTCTGCGAGGCGTTCATGATCAACTGAGCTAGTGATAAATTCATGGATGGCTCACTATAAATACAGCTGTCAGTGACTTCTTTTTGTCTGAGATCTAGCGTTGGCAGATCCACGAAGTACTAGAACCGAAGCACGAGAGTGAGATTCACAATGAGTTGCAGGGCACCGCGTGTGTGATGTCGGAGATAACGATAACGATCGATGAAGAATATCCCGTGGTGGGTTGAGTGATATGGATGTTCTTACATCACACCGAACCACCACGAGATATCTGCGTCGGATGCAAGGGTTGATGACGCTTGTAGACGCACAAAAGAAGAGGGTAGCGGGATGCAGGGAGATGAGGAACTAGTCGTGGATGAGCACCACGATCGACGAAGGATACCTCGTAGTAGGTTGAACAATTGGTCACTTCATCCATCCTTGTACGAGGCATTCTGCATCGGATGCAAGGGATCATGCATATGATGTACGTAGACTCTAGAGGCAGAAAAAAGGGGTGGTGCGATGTAAAAAGATACCACAATGTGCGACGCGGACAAGGGGCTAGCGATGGGTATGCATCATGATCAATGAGGGATAGCTCGTGGTGAGTGAAGCAATAGCTTCAAGGGACAGAGTAGGAAGGATGAAAGTTGAGTATAACTCGTAATGGATCGGGAAATGTGTAGAGGTAAATGCGCAGAAAGAAGAGAATGTACAGGCAGCGGGTGGTAGAGCGAACGAGCCAAAACAAGCATCACATCGAAGAAGGATATCCCATGATGGGTCGAGAAATTGCTGATTCAAGTTCGACAATCTTTCAGCCCACCATGAGGTACCCCGTGTTGAACGTAAGGGACGTAAACTCTAGAGGCCAGAAACAGGGTGGTGTGGTGTGATAAGGGACTAGCGAGGGATGTCGATGACTGACGAAGTATAGCCTGTGATAGATTGAACGATCGCTTGACAAACGAAGCATCACCTACTACGAAGGTTCTTCGTTGGATACAGGAGAGACCTGGCCACGAAAAAGATAGTAGATGATGGTGCTTGAGATTGAGAGCGTAGCTGTTGTAGTGCGACCTGCGTTCAAATTGAGCTGGAACAAGCGGAATGAATGTAAATGGATGAAGAACAAGTAAACACATAGCTCACGGTGGATCGATGACGATAACTGCGAAGTATTCTGCATTGAATGAAAGGGGTAAGTGTGAAGGCGCAGGAAGAAGAAAATGTGGAGCGCACCATACGATGGCGTGCAGGTCGGGGCGCTGAAGATGGTGATAAAGTAAACGAGCCTAGGCGACGAAACCTTTGTGGGAGCCGTCCATGAAGGAGGTGCAAGAGACGGACAACGTACTTCCAGCGGATGGCTAAAACAAACATCGGCGTTCCGTTCGTTGTCGATATCCTGGTCCAATCCAATGTATCAATCAAAAAACAGCGCACAATATTGACGTCAACCGACGAGACCTGCTTACTTTGATAAATTTGTTCTGATGAATGTTTGGATCGGTGTGGTGAGAGTGCGACTCTGAGCGAGGAGATCCCGTTCGTATGGATACCACCGTATCGAACGCGAGAATCCGATGAAGTTCAAGTTCTGTGTAGAGTGTGAGAGATTCCGCAAGTAAACATCAGAAGAGGAAGACGGGCTCATGCATGTGAATAAGAAGCTGAAGCGTGTCATGCACATCATCAGCCACGCATCATATACATATGCTGAACTCGTAGGACAGGCAATATTAGTGTTGCACGGTACCAAGATATCTCATCCTGCGAGACTAGCATGCATTGCAAGTGGGCCTACTTCTCTGAAGACGTCCTGCATACACCCAGATATATATACTTGAAGTGAGAGTGATGAGCGCTGAGCACCTGACTTGATAGTGGTGCAGGAAAGGAAGCAATGGTAGATCTAGGTGTGTTTGATGTTCTGTGGCGTTAATGAGGATGATTTAGAAGCGTGGGAATCCGCATTCAGGCTCATAGTCAAAATCAAAACCAATCCCGCACCCGCAATTTCCAATGAACACTTGCTTGTAAGTCGTGCATCCTGGTCTAGTCTAAATCCTGAGCACGAAGCTGTCCTGGGACCAAGTGCTTCGGTTTCACAGAGGCACTATGCAGTTTAATTACTTGTGGATGCAGAAAGTCTGAAACTACAGGCTCGTATGAGGAGATTCGACGATATACATGTACAGAGAGCCTCTAGCACACAACAAAACAGGTGTATTCGAGTGATCGTTATATTGACAATGCGTCGCCAATATTCGGGACTACTCTAGGAGGTGACTGCCGAGGAGGTCCCTGCGTCGGATACAAGGGATCGCGATATAGGGAAAGAGGAGGGTGATGTGATGTGGACACGATGTGGGAGGTAATGCTAAGGATTAACCATGGATGAGTACCATTTTTGATGAAGGATACCTCGTGAACTCAGAATTCATGCGGGCAAAGCTCGTACCACTACGAAGTATTCTGGATTGGATGGAAAGAAGAGGATGGTAGACAATGGCATGACATTGCATGAAGCTTGAGTGTAGCTCGTGCCAAAACCCACTGGGAAGGGAGATAGACGCTCTAGCTTTGGGGCGACATACTTGTATAGAAATGGCAAAAATGCGGCATCAAGAACGAACGTGTGGTTAATTTCATCGCCAATCAAATCGCGTCGAATTGTTTGATCAATGACTCGGATGGCGTGTTGTTGATGTAGGATCTGGTGTAGGTGTCATGGATTCGGGGGGTCTGCTGGTGTTATCTGACATGGCGAAGCTGGCGCCAGCGGAGTGACTCAATTGATGAACCAAATTGAGCATGCATCCTTCAAAAACTAGTCAATCCGATTAACTTATCATAAGCCATATAAACCTGCTGTAAGCAATCCACTCTTTGGACTGCTTTTCGACCATGGATACATTCGCAGAACCATACACACGCGCAGGAGACGACATTTCACTCGATGCAGTCCGTGATCATGTTAGAGCACTCGAAGCACGACACAAAGCCAACGGTGTCCAATTATCAGGCCGCATCATTCATGTCTGCCATTATCTTCCTGTAACTTGCACCATCACTTCCGCCGCTGCAAGAGATGGCGTACTCAGTCCACCTCCCACACCTCCTCGTGTTCTTACAGATGTACCACCAAGCCCATCCGAGGAACTTCCTCCACTCGCTCTATCCACCCAGCCTGAACGTTGGAAACTAGCTCCACGCTACGGACACAGCGCAATGACAAGCGGTATTCGTAGTCTCAGCGTCACACACGAACAAATCATTCTTGGATGGACGGGCGACATTCTATCACCCGCTGCTCCACCCGATGGGAATTCTTCTCCAGATGGTCATTCACTCCACTCTCGTTCATCATACACCACACTAACTCGTCTCCACAGGTGACGTCAACCCCTCCACTGGTGAACGCGTCCCGTCTGTTCGCGACCGTATTCCGTGCTCTCGTATCTCTCAAGAGGACAAGGATGCGCTCGACGACGAGCTCGCTCATTACATCGGGCTTGAACAAGAAACCGGTAAACCGATCAGCTATCTTCCACTCTGGATGGAAGACAACGTCGCACACGGTCATTACGATGGATACTGTAAACAAAGTTAGTCCTTAACTATATCAGGCACACCTCTTCTTGATCTACCTCCATCATCTACTTTTGGCCCTTCTCACCTCGCTTTCCATACTTCTTTCCTTCTTTGGTTCACCTCCTTCACCTTTCTTTTCCTTTGTCCTATCCTGTGTTTCTCCATTCCGTTGGCACTTTGATCGTATTTGATTTCATGTATTTACCCATCTCGTCTAATCTCCTTTATCTTCGACTTCGACTTCCCAACTTTGTTCTCGCTTCTTATTACTACCGGCCCGGGGCGCCTTCTAACCGTTGCTAACTCCCACCCAGCTCTATGGCCCCTCTTCCATTACCTCCTCTGGCAGGACGTAGCAACAGAGCATGCCAGTGCCGACGCTAATTACGAGTATTATGAACAGGTGAGTTCGGTTGGTTTGATCCGATCATCTTGCCGTGTTTAACCATACACCAATAGGCCAACCAAGCATTCGCAACACGCCTAGCTAGTGTCCTCAAACCAGGGGATCTCGTTTGGGTCCATGACTACCATCTCCTCCTAGTCCCCCGCATGCTCAGAAATGCAATGCATTCCGGTGCTGTGAGCGGCGTGGGTGGGGAGAATGGCGGAGACGTGTGCGTGTTTCATCGATCGAGGAGGACACGAGTGCTAACATATACACCACAGCATCATCGGTCTATTCGTACACACGCCTTTCCCTAGCTCAGAAGTGTTTAGATGTTTACCACGTGCGTCCCTCTCCATTCCCTTTCGACCCACTAATCAACCCCCACCCAGGCCGCAAAGAAATTCTCGACGGAATGCTAGGCGCCAACCTCATCTGCTTCCAGACCTACAGCTACACCCGCCACTTCACCTCCACCTGCGTTCGCGTATGCGGGTACGAAACTACCAGTAAGGGTGCTACAGCCGCCTCTGCTAGCGCGTCTCGGAGCGCGAGCGTTGTCCCTCGTAGCACGACTGCAACTGGGATTGAATTCACCCGCAGTGGAAAAAGCAAGAAAGGCGGAGCGGGCGTTGAGAAATATGTCGGTATCGATGTACAGGGACATGTGGCTGCTGTTACGCATTGCCCGGTGGGGGTGGATGCGGAGAGAGTTGCGAGGGATACGTGAGTTTTTGTTTTTGTTTTTGTTGGTGATGCTGATGGGCACGCACGCACACAAACCAGCCTCCGCGCAGGCGTACAACCGAAACTCGAAGCACTCCGCGCACTCTATGCAGACAAGAAGATCATCGTAGGAAGGGACAAGTTGGATGTCGTCAAGGGGGTTTTGCAAAAGGCAATTATTCTTTCTTGTATGGTTGTATTGTCGTTGATTGGTTGCTTCTCGTACCATCGTCCAACCTGACAATATAACACCAGCTCCGCGCGTTTGAGAAGCTTTTACATGATTACCCAGAGTGGCAGCGCAAAGTCGTGCTTATCCAGGTGTGTCCTGTCATCTGGAGCAATACCCAAATATCGATGAATGATAAACACTGGTTGCAGGTGACATCCCCCGCGTTAACAGACTCTCCAAAGCTCGAGCGTCAAGTCTCCGAACTCGTCGCGCATATCAATGGAGAGTATGGGAGTTTGGACTTTATACCCGTACATCACTAGTGCGTGCACTTTTATTATGTCTTCACATGTCTGAGTTTTTGCATCACATTTACTTTCACATAACCTCTACAACGACTCCAACAGCCACCAGACCCTCCGAAAAGACGAATTCTACGCGTTGTTGAGCGCTGCAGACCTCGGAGTAATCACGCCCCTCAGGGACGGAATGAACACGACCTCGATGGAGTTCGTGATCGCACAAGAGCGCACGAAGCGCTCTCCACTCGTATTGAGCGAGTTTATGGGTATCAGCCAGCACATGGCTGATGCGCTCCAGGTGAACCCTTGGGATCTTGGGGTGCGTATGCATCTGCCTACTCAGACCGTATTTGTGTTATTGACGGCTGTGTCGTGATAGGATGTAGCAGCTGCGATGAACCGCGGGTTAGTCATGTCGGAGGAGGAGAAAGCTTCGAGACACGCCGCGTTGCACTCGGTCGTGACCACTCACACCTCGCACACGTGGGCTGCGGTCCTTGCCAAGATGCTGCTTTCGCAGATCAACGGACAAAATACTGCACGTCAAACGCCTTACATCCCTAGAGACAGTCTCAAGGAGCTGTATGATAACGCCGGGAAGCGTCTGTTCTTGTTCGATTACGACGTGAGTGGCGGATGGGGGATACAGGACTCGTAGTTGACATTTGACGGATAGGGCACGCTCACGCCGATCGTCAAGATGCCATCAATGGCGCTTCCTTCTCCCGATGCACTCACAGCCCTCGCAAAACTGACATCTGACCCAAACAACATCGTATACATCGTATCCGGCCGTGACCAAGCGTTCCTCGAGGAACACCTAGGCCATCTCCCGCGTCTCGGGATGAGCGCAGAGCACGGAGGATTTATCCGTTCGCCTGATAGCGCTGTATGGATGAATTTTACCGCTAGTCTTGATATGAGCTGGATGGAGGAAGTAGCGGAGATCTTCAGGTATTATACAGAGCGTACGACTGGGAGTCATATTGAGATGAAGAAGAGCTCGATTACGTGGCACTATCGTTCAACTGATCCCGAGTGGGGGTGCGTGTGTTTGTGTTTTATTTATTTATTTCGTTGGGCTAATGAGTGATGGGTGGGTTATAGACAGTTCCAGTGCAGGCAGTGCCAGGATTTACTGGAGAACAACGTGGTACCAAAGAGGCCGATCGAGGTGCTCGTGGGTAAGAAGAACCTAGAAGTGAGGCCTATCGCCGTGAACAAGGTCTGAATACGCGGTCTTTGATACACGTGCATACTGACGATTCATGCAAGGGTGAGATCGTCAAGCGTATATTATACCAGAACCCTGGAGTCGAGTTCATCTTTTGCGCTGGTGACGACAAGGTTTGTTCCATCCCTCCTCCATCTCACTAACTTACTCACCCTCCAACAGACCGACGAAGACATGTTCCGCGCCCTCCTCCTCTTCCCCCCTTCCTCAACCGGCAAAGCGACGATGGAACCCCCGCTCTCAGTGATGCTCGTCGATAACACCAAGGAGCACAGCGACGTCGAGCTTGCGGTGTCTCCCGAAGCTGTGTTCACGACTGCCGTTGGACAGAGCAGCAAGCGGACGCTTGCGAGTTGGCATGTGACGACGCCTGAGGAGGTGGTGGAGCATATGTTGTATTTGGTTGGGGAGGTGCCGAAGGGGGAAGAGGTGAAGGGGTATCTGTGAGTTTTGCATTGTGCCTTGTGAATCGCGTTGCATGCCCCGCGAATCGTGTTGCGGTATAGAATTTTTTCGTTTTAAAATGTTTGTAGAAGGTGTTAAGAACATTCATGTACTTGTACATGTCCCTAGAATTTCTATAGACCAATGATTATTTGTTTTGCAAGATGTCGTTGATTTTGGGAGTCTGGAGAAGAGCGAGGTTAATCGGACCCGTACTTACCTTGCTATTGGAAAAGTGAATCCAGTAGGCCTTTCATGAAGCAGGATGACTGAAGATTCCATCCTGACCTTTTTTCCCAACGAGATATTCTTCGATGTATATCCGTGAGCAGCGTAGATCAGCCTACTTAGATTTTTACTTTTGCGCGATGTCCGGCATGTGGGTTGGTGGCACGCATCGACCATACCTTGAAGTGCTCAATAAGTCTCTCCAGTAGTAGAATCGAGTGTGTTCCCCGTCGCAGTGTATGAAGAATGAATGGAGTCGCATAGACTCTTCTGAGCGTAAATATAATAGTATGAGGGGATGTAATGTAAAATAAAAACTGCAGTATCAAGGTAATCCTACAAGAGCCAACAAGAGGGACACCGAAAGGATGAAAAACAATCCAACATCAACAACTGATGAATCTGTAGCAAACGAAAGCAATACGACACCATAAAACTACACACCAATATGAACAAAAACGATTCTCTGCTCGAGCGGCACTTTCGTCTTCACGGCTTGTATAGCATGATTAAGTGCCCGCGCCGCCTTCCTACAGTCCATGACAACACCATCCTCCGAATCCTCAAACATCTTCTCGTCAAAAGGCTCAACAATGTGTTTGGCGACAGCATCATCGACCGCCCACAGCGTGCCAATAACGCTTTTAAAACCCGAAAACTGGAGACCAGCTGCGAGGTGGATGACCTCGTCGGGTGTCTCCTCATCGCCGACAGCAGTATGACAGGCGGATAAGAACGCGAACTCGGCGTGCGGAATGTCTTTCTCCATGATATCAAGCAGCGTCAGACGTTCATCTCTCATGGCGAAATGAGAATTGTAGGGCTGCTCATAGTCCTGCTTGCCATGGCAAGCAAGGTGCACCCAAGTGTTCTGTTTCAAAGCGTGTAGTGCACCTGCTCGCGTGGCGCGGTCGCCAGAGAGAGTGGTGGGGTTGGCCGTCGCGGGGAAGAGCTCACGGACAAGGTCAAGCTCGCTGTTGACAGCCGAGAGCTCCTTGCCTTGCCCTGCGCCCGGTTGACCTTGTCCGATCGCCACAAAGGACGGACTGATACGCTTCTTGATCATTTGTCTAGACCTGATCAGAGCCGAAAGTGTTGGCGTATAAGAACAGATGTAAAGATCCTCCAGGCATGGCTCCTTAGAGCGATCTGCCTTTGTTTGAAAGGGATGAGCTGCGTGGAGAGGAATAGATGTGAAAACTGCAGTTGGACACAACCAGATTCGAGAGTAGCGCCGTAGTTTAAGGACGTTCTTGAGTACGTTGACAATGGGTAGCATGATCTTGTCCCATATAGTCCGCAAGAGTACTATTAGATCCGTCCTCGACTCCGCTGGGTTCATCCGAGTCGCCTGTCGTATTGCCCTGGTGAAGCGATCCTTGAGATTATTCAGATCTGTGAGAGCGACAGACGGCAAGGGAACATGATGGGGCTCTCCCGACGTCGGGACGATAATGGCGTTGCACGAATATTGACTGGCAATGAGGATGATGACTGGGCCATGGCGCGCTGCCGCTTGCAAGTCTTCATATGAAGGTGGGAGCAGGAACCGCGAAAAACCATCAACTTTGTGGATTTCAGCCACTGCAAATTTCCACTGCTCCATATATTGCCTGTATTGTGTTTCTGCCTGATCAGCAGCAGCTCGGTCTGTGCTGACCATGGAACCTTGGGCGTTGGAAAGGTGTTTGCTGAGCTCCGAAAATGTGTGAGCTAAGTTGAGATTCTTGGACTCGAGGTCTTCGAGTGGAGTCCTCAATCGAGAGGCCAATGACCACTGTTGGCCACGACCCCGCTCCACGAGTTCGACTGCGTGTCGCAGATCGCCACTACGGATGGCACGTGATGTTGCATCTACAGGTAGTGATCTGACATAACGGAAAGCTATGGCAGCTTCACGCCGTAAAGTTGTTGACGGCCGTGTCGCCAAATGAGCATCCAGAAGCTTGAAAAATGTTGAGTAAGCTTCCAATGCGGATTCATGACCATACTACTCAGCCACAACAGCCCAGCTATATGACACACTGATGCGCTGCGGCAAGCCTTGAGTGGCATGTCCTGATGCCAGTCTGAAATTTTCCACTGCGAATGACAGATCGGCGACGTTGTGTCGCACTCGGTAACGAGACAAATAAGCCTGCTGTAGCCACGTGTAGCTGAAATGTCTGTCAGGGTGCAATGTAGGCAAAGCCTCCAAAGAGTCTTGGCAAAGTCGAATGGCCTCCTCGACATCTTCATTCTCTTGAATTTGCATGAAACGAGAGCAGAGCACCGAGCTCAAATTCAAAAGATTTCTATGGCGCTCGGGATGATCATGCCGCCTTAACCGAAGCGATTCGCGAGAGACTGATGGCCTCGTCGAGATCCTCGGTGACATGCAAATTGTTATATCTAGCTGCGAGTGCGACGGCAAGGTTGTTAAGCGCGGTATCGTGATATAAATGCCCAGGTGGGCGCAGCGTCAACGCCTCGCGATGGAGGCTGATAGCGCGGTCGAAGATGGTAACTCGGTAGGGGTTGATAACTGGGTTGATATCGCCAGCATATTGATTTGAATAGGTAAGAAGGGCTCTTCCTAGGTTATCCAATGTGCAGTCACGAAATTCGTGCCCAACAGGGCGCAGGCTTAGCGCTTCTGCAAATAGAGAGATGGCCTCGTTGAGGTCATCGGATTTGCCTTGGAACTCGAAGCGAGACAGGAGTGAGGAGGCCAAGTTATCCAGGGAGGCATCACGGCTGGGATGTCCTTCGGGGCATTGAGAAACGACCTCACGACGAAGTCGAATGCTCTCGTCTATATCATCAATGCTGCCGCATTGCGCAAAATGTGTTCTGAGATCCAGCGAAAGCTTGTCGACTGCTCTCGGACGGCCTGTATGGCCCGGAGGATAGAACTCGAGCCCGATTCGCTGAAATTGGATGCTATCGCTGATCACAGTATCAACGCCATTTGCCATTGCCGCAATGTAACGAAAACAGGTGCCCTCTGGACAGAGGGGCAGTAACTTGGAGGACAGTTGTATGGATTCATGGAGGTCAACAGCGGTGTCCTCCTTGAAGTAGCGCCGGATTAGCGCGTCGGCGAGATAACAGAGTGATATTATGTGATCGGGGTGGTCCTGCAGACGCAATGTAAGGGCTTCGCGGAATAGAGATATACTAGAATCGATATCTTGAAGATCCTTTTGAACGTAGCCCATAAGGCGGGCCGATGCGAGGTTGAAAAGAGCCGCTGCGCGGTCGGGATGGTCGACCGGACACTGGTCCAGAACCAATTGAAAATGCTCCACAGCATCGTGCAAGTGAGAGACCGTCTTGCCCGTCACGTATTCGGCAAGCCGTGCACGGCCCGCATCGGTGGCTCGAGCTATCTCGCAGTCTACGAGGGACTACACGTGACGTCAGCAAAAGCCAACAGAATAGACTTGGGTGTTACTCACGCCAAACAGTGCACCGTCACGATCTTCGCAAGGATGTAGGACGGCGACCTTCAACGTGAGAGAAGGGTGATCACCACAAACGGATGGGAAGGGCAGTTCTACGAGATATTAGTAGATGTGCATGAATGAGAAGTAGGGCACTCACCGAAAGGCTCATCTCCATGACCGAGTAGCTCGTCCCACGCTGTTTCGAGTTTTCCAACGACTTCTCCATTACCTAGCATTCGACCGAGCTCATATGATACCCTGATCTCCACCGATAATTCAGGTACCTCGCGTAATGGCCTAAAAACGGATGATCAGTCCTCAAATCCCATGTGAAAGTCACTATACACTTTACAAAATCACAATATCGCCCAACATTTCAGAATCATCAGATGATGGTACTCGTACGGCTGATTTCCAGCGCCTCTTCCAATTGCCATTGATAGTCACAAAAATGCCTGCGGGTATGCGCCCGGAAGGGAGCGGAAGATCATTCACCCTGATGACTGTAGATTAGGCGCGAGGTTGAGGTACAAAACAAATACGAAGTTTATATAAAGCGACCCATGTTCAAGTCTGACATATTGGCCTTCCCAGCCACCGGGCATGATGGTGGAATGACGCATGATGACAGGGAGGATCCAGGATGGGCCGAGCAGTAGGCAGAATGAGGAGTAGAAGAAGGCAGGAGGTAGAGATATGGGGACTGTGGAGCGCTTTGGGGTGACGCCTCGGTGGTCATGCTACACGTGCATTTACAGCTGTTCGGCACGATAGACGCTGGTATGATTGCACCAAATGCTGAGGCCAACAGATGACCGACTAGCGACAACAGGAGAGCCTGTGCTAAAGAAGTGGTAAAATGTCAAGGCCAATCAAGTGGCACGCCCAGGTTAGAGGGGGTAAGCGGGAAATCTCAGAGCTTCCCACAAAACCAAGGTAAAATCAATGCCAAATATTTCCATGTCAAAGCAGTCAGCAGATATATACGAAGATTGTTGCAATACTTTACAATTTACTGTTCGCAGGTTCACTGATGAGCGTTCTCACTGTTCCGGGTGCGTTTCGCCTGACAGTGTGTGAAGAACACTTCAAATACTCGAACAATGAATGAAGTTTCGAAAGACTATTCTAATAGTACTAGTACACAATTACACGAGGAGATATCGATGCGAAGCAAGTATCAAGGCAATGTTACAACAAATACACCAACGAGACGAAATATCAACAACAATTCGTACTAGAGCCTAGCTAGTGAAAGCCATGCAAGATAAAACTACACACCAATATGGACAAAAACCATCCTCTGCTCCAGCGGCACTTTCGTCTTCACGGCATGTGTAGCACAGTTGAGCGCCCAGGCTGCCTTCGTACAGTCCATGTCACCACCATCCTCCAAATCCTTGAACATGTTCTTGTAGAAAGCCTCCACAACATGCTTTGCGACAGCGTCATCGACCTCCCACAGCGTGCCAACGACGCTCTTGAACCCTGAGAATTGAAGACCAGCTGCGAGGTGAATGACTTCGTCGGGCGTCTCCTCATCCCCGACAGCGGTGTGACAAGCGGATAAAAACGCGAACTCTGCGTGCGGAATGTCTTTCTCCATGATATCAAGCAGCGTCAGAGGTCCATCTTTCATGACGAAATGGGAATCGTAAGGCTGCGTAGGGTCCTGCTTCCCGTGACAGGCAAGGTGCACCCAGGTGTTCTCTTCCAAAGCTTCGAGTGCACCTGCTCGTGTCGCTGCGTCTCCAGAAATAGCAGTGCGGGTGGCCATCGCAGGAACGAGCTTTTGGACAAGCTCGAGCTCGCTGTCGACAGCCAAGAGCGCCTTGCCTTTCCCTGCACCCGGTTGACCTTGTCCGATTGTCGCGAAGGATGGAGCGACACGACTCTTCATCATCCGTCTAGATCTGACCAGAGCCGAAAGTGTCGGCGTGTAAGAGCAAATGTAAAGATCCTCCAGGCATGGCTCCTTAGAACCATCTGCCTTTGTTTGAAAGGGGTGAGCTGCATGGAGAGGAATGGACGTGAAAGTCGCAGTTGGACACAGCCAGATTCGAGAGCGGAATTTTAATTTCACGTCATGCTGGAGGACATTGACGATGGGTAGCATGATATTATTCCATACTGTGCGCAAGAGGACTATTAGATCGTTACGCGGCACTTTGGGGCCCATGATAGATGCGTGTCGTATCGCCCTGGCAAATCGATCTTTGAGATTATTTAGATCTGTGAGGGTAACAGACGGCAGGAGAACATGACGGGGCTCTCCTGACGTCGGGACGATGATGGCGCTGCATGAATATTGACTGGCGATGAGGATGATGACTGGGCCATGACGCGCTGCCGCTTGC